CCCCTACGCCCCAGCATATGCCCTCCCTCCCTCCCCCAGTGTCTGTGTCCATTGGTTATGCTTAAATGCGTGCATACAAGTCCTTCAGTTGATCATTTACCCCACCACCCCCACTCCAGCCTTCCCGCTGTAATTTGAGTCTGTTCGATGCTTCTCTGCTTCTGCATCTATCATTTTGTTCATCAGGTTATAATGTTATTTTCAATAGATGAGTTAGATCATGTGGTATTTTTCTTTCATTGCCTGGCTTATTTCACTTAACATAATGCTCTTCAGGTCCATTCAGGCTACTGCAAATGGTAAGAATTCCTTTTTATATAGCAGCATAATATTCCATTGTGTAGATGTACCAAAATTGTCTAATCCACTGATCTGATGATGGGTATTTAGGCTGTTTCTAAATCTTAGCTATTGTAAATTGTGCTAAGAACATAGGAGTGCATATGTCCTTTCTGATTGGTGTTTCTGTTTTCTTAGGATATATTATATTCCTAGAAGTGGTATTACTGTGTCAAATGGGAGTTCCATTGTTAAATTTTTTCAGGAAATGCTGTACTGTTTTCCACAGTGGCTACACCAGTCTGCATTCCCACCAGCAGCGGAGGGTTCTTTTTTCTCTGCATCCTTGCCAACACTTGTCATTTGTTGATTTGTTGATGATAGCCATTCTGACAGGTGTGAGGTTGTACCTCATTGTTGTTTTGATTTGCATCTCAGATGATTAGTGACTTTGAGCATGTTTTCATATGTCTCTTGGCTTTCTGAATATCCTCTTTAGAAAAATGTCTATTTAGATCCTTTGCCCATGTTTTTATTGGATTGATTATCTTCCTTTTATTAAGTTGTATAAGGTGTCTGTAGATGTTGGAGATTAAACCTTTATCGGAAATATCATTGGCAAATGTGTTCTCACATGCATTAGGCTTGTTGTTTTGTTGATGGTTCCTTTTCTGTGCAGAAACTTTTTATTTTTATGTAGTCCCATTTGTTTATTTTCTCCTTAGTCTCTCCTGCCCTAGGATCTGTGTCTGTAAACATATTGCTACGACATATGTCTGCAATTTTGCTGCCTATGGAGTCTTGTAGGAGAAAAAACAAGAAAGCCCACTGAATGGGAGAACACCACAGGCCCCTGCCCAGGCTGCCCCACACCCCAAGGGAACCCCCACCCTGATCCAGGACACCCTCCAGGGCAAACCAACTGGCCCCCACCCATGCACCAGGCCTCTATCCTATCTAATAAAAGAGTAATATGCAGATTGACCAACACTCCAACAAACAAGATGGTTGCCCCCATGTGGTCAAAGATCCTGCCCCCATATGGACACAAGATGGCCACCAAAAAATGGCCCACAGGGGAGGGCAATTGGGAGGGACCAGACCTGCAAGAGAGGGCAGTGTGAGCGATCAGGCCAGCAGGAGAGGGCAGTTGGGTGGCACCAGGCCTGCAAAAGAGGGCAGTTGAGGACGATCAAGCCTGCAAGGGAGGGCAGTTAGGGGTAACCAGGCTGGCAGAGGAGGGAAGTTGGGAGCAAACAGGCTGGCAGGGGAGCAGTTAGACATCAATCAGACTGGCAGGAGAGTAGTTAGGGGGTGATCAGGCTGGCAGGCATAAGTGGTTAGGGGCAATCAGGAAGGCAAGCAGTTGGGAGTCAGCAGTCCTGGATTGAGGGCAGTTGGACATCCCTTGAGGGGTCCCAGATTGGAGAGGGTGCAGGCTGGGCTTAGGGACACCCCTTCCTCCCTACCGTGCATGAATTTTGGCACCAGACCTCCAGTGGTAACATAGAAATCCACATCTGAAACCTATATGCTTATGTTGACCAATGTCACCCCAATAAATTTAGTAAAAAAAAAAAAAAAGAAGGCACTGTTTAGCTAAGACAGGCTGTTAAATGTGCAACAAAATATGTTTTTATTGATTTTAGAAAGAGCATGAGAGAGGGAGAAGGAAAGGGAGGGAGATAGAGAGAACATAGATAGGTTGCCTCCTGCACACACCCGGACCAGGTACCAAACCCACATCGTGGGTATGTGCCTAGGCCGGGATGGAACCAGCAACTTTTCAGTTCATGGGGGGCACTCAATCAAATAAGCCACACCAGCCAGGGCCATCTAATATTTTTTTACAATTATCTTCATTGTTGAAAGTATTACAGATGTCCCTTTTTTTTTTCTTCCATTGACCCCCTCCACCTCACTTCCATCCCTACCTCAGGCCTTCACCATATATGCATATAAGTTCTTCCTGTCCCCCCATATCTAACCTTAAATAAATTAAAATATTGATCAAGAAGAAAAATTAAGGCAAAAAGAAATCCAGGGAATAATAACAACTTTTTTTTAACCCTCACCTGAGGATATTTTTTCTATTGATTTTTAGAGAGTGGAAGGGAGGGAGATATGCAAGGAGGAAGAGGGGGAGAAGGGGAGAGAGACAAACAGATATTGATATGAGACATATTCATTGGTTGCCTGTCACACATGCCACAGGGATCAAACCTACAACCCAAGTACATGACCATGAATGGGAATTGAACCCGGGACCCTTCGGAGCACGGGTCAGTGCTCTAAGCACTGAACAGCATACCAGCCAGGGCACCCAGAAGATAATTATTAAACAAATGAGAAACCTAAAGAATTTTTTCCCCCTTCTGGAACATATTTAGAAAAGCTTCCTTTGATAATCTGAAGATTATTAGGGGTTAATCAAATCCCTTCACATAATTAGAGTTCTATATGATCTTAAAGACCAAAATATTATGTTCTGAAAAACAATATGGAAAGTTATTTGGAATACAAACTTAAAAACAAGAGGCCTCTCTATATGAGGTTATCCAGTGGGGAAGCAATCACATTTACTTCAAATCAGCTAAAGCTTCTTTTTTTTTTCCAGGTATACGGGCAACATTCCACACCATTAAACATCCTTTGGAACATTTTCTTCACTTGGCTTCCAGCACACCAGTCCCTGACTTTTCTTCTAGCACTGGAGGGTCCTTCTCAGTCTTTTGCTGGTTCCTCCCCCTCTCTGTTTTTTAACGTTGGCACACCTCAAAGCTCAGTCCTTTGCCACCTCTTTCCCAGCTATATTAAATGATCTCATCCAATGCTGTGGCTATTCTAATAACTCCCAAATTAATTTTGCCAATTCCAACTTGTACCTTGAAATCTAGACTTGGATATTCATCTGACTACTCAGCACCTGCAACTTAACATGGCTACAACAGAACTCCTGATTCCACACTCCTCCACACTGGTTCTTCTTCCAGTATGCCTCCTCATTTACCCAGTTGCTCAGTCAAAAACCCAAAAGTCACCCTTTACCCATCTTTTCCCTTCTCCTTATACCCATTATCAGCAGATCCTATCTTTTCTACCTTTACCAGTAAAGTAGAGCCTGAATCCAGTATCTAAACATTTCCTCCTCATCAGTCACACTAATCTAACACTGTAATAACCTAACTGGTCTCTCTCTCACCCTAATTCCTCTTCAGTCTAAGTTCACTCTACGGTTCCATATAGGAAAGTCAAATTATGTCACTCCTCTGCTCTCAATTCTTCTAATGGCTTCCCATTATATATCCATTCTGGGCTATAAGGACTTTCATGAACAACTTTCTAGCTTTCTATTGTTTCATTTCTTACTATTCCTATCCCTTAATCACTGTTTTTTTTTTTTGTGGTATTTTTTTTTTTTTACCTCACTAGCTTCTCTATTGTTCTTCAAACAGGCCAAGAAAGTTAACATTTTTAAGCCTTTTCACTTGCCTTTATCTCTGCCCAGAATGCTTTTCCCAAATATTCACATGGCTCATACACTTATTTCATTAGGGCCTCTGCTTATGTCACTTCTCAAACAGGTCTTCTCCTAACCACCTTATCTAAAATAGTAATCCTCTCAACATTCTGTTTCTATTCCTTGCTTTTTTTCATAGCAACCGATTTTATATATTTATTTACTGTTTTATTGCCTGTCTTCTCCAATGGGATATACTAAATTCCACAAAAGCCAGTACTTTGTATTGGTCACAGCTGTTATAATCAGCACACAGAATACCTGGCATACAATATGCTCAGTAAACGTGTATTGAATCAAAAAAATTAACTGACAAGTGAGATTCTAAACATTATCCAGTAATACAGTTTAGAATTTTGCTTTACAAGAACCATAAAAATGTGCCCTAAAATAAAAAATTCCACTTGATTTCTCTCCCACGATATGAATTTTATTAAAAGAGAGAGTTATTCCATAGCACTGAAGCAAAATTTAAAGTAAATTTTCAGCAAGATATTCTAGCTATTATAAAGTTTTTAAAAAGGCTTCAGAATTATTCTTGAAAATAGCGTTGCCTAAACACTTAAAAATGGTTATATACATATATTCACACAAACTAGAGCAGTTTCATGAAATCAAACCTGTAATAAGCAGGAATGTCTTGATTATCCCATGATTTTCTCCTTCCTTCTCTCATCAAGTTTCTACCAGTGGAAACCAAGGAATCAGCCAACTACTTATTAACTTGGTGTTGGCGCTATTGTTCAGTCAGAAAAATGGCAGTATCCATGGAGGTTTCACAGAGACGGCAGAGTATTTTGCATAAGTATGCCTGTGGCTTAATTGCTACTGTATATTACCTCTGTCATCCATCAAGACAGCTTATACTCCACAAGAATGTGAAAAGGCCCACTGCGTAATGGATATATCTCTTTACATATAATTTGGTGAAAGGTAGAGTCTGATGATTAAATCATTTTTCGTTAGTGCATTAGAATCTAGACCCCGAAAAACAAAGCTAGCCACATCAAAGCTCTCCTGAGCCATGACAAAGGCCAATCCAAGCACTACCTGAGGATGACAGTGTGTTAGTAAAAAGTATATGGAAACTCAAAGTGAGCCACATGGCCTCTCCGGCAACAAGGAAGGAATTGGGTCCAGTATGCTTGGTTTGTTCTGTCAGCATTCATTTCATGTTGATCATGGAGTTTATGCTGTGTGATCAGGGGACAGAAGAATGACGAATACTACTTCTTATGAAAAGTTTCAAGCCTTGTAAGCCCTCTGAAAATAAATAGTCCAAATATTCATTCCATTTCTTTCCCTGTAGGCACAAAAAAGGGGAAGGTTATTTATTGGATATTTACTATGCTTATTCTCTACCTTCTCATTCACTAAGTAACAGACAAACCAGAAAGTACCCAAAGTTTAAGAGCTAAACATTACTTTTATTATATTGGCAAAAAATTTTAGCTGTTCAACTTGAGTAAGAACTGTGAAACAGAAATGGGTCATCACTCCCATGCTCAAGGAATTTAGCATCTAAACTAGATAACACAGGAATAGACATTATTATATTACTGCCTACATTAAATATGTACACAGCAGAGTTTCTAGAATAATGAGACAACTGTGTTTGGGTTTATTAAATTAGCCTTATAATCACATTTTGAATATAGGCAACTGTACTGTAAAATGAGAAACAGTCACAATAACAAGAGTCAAATTACAAATAGTTATAGTTTTTGAGAAGACTATAGAGGGTATGTGCCAATAAATTCACATAAATGTCATGGGGATGAATTCAGAAGGTAAACATTTCACTTTGACTTTGTGGAGAAAGCAGGCTTAAGGTTTGGTAAAAAATAAAAGTATAAATTCTTCTGATAAAATGATGCTGTATGAAAATCCTGAAAATAAAATAAATTTATTTACCCGAATGGAGCTCACATTTACTCTCCTTTCTTCTGGGTATTCCTTAAAAAAAAAAATACACACAAAATAAAGAAGTGGACCTTATGGGGATGGAAATATTTAGTTAGCAAAAATTACCGAACATTAAAATAGCTCATCACTGATCTATTTGCTACATTCTATTCCTACCATCACTCTTGGATTCCTTTTGAATAAATACCCACTATAACTTTCCATATTTCTTCCTAGAAGCATAAACAGAGGGAAATAAAACCAGTGGATAAAATGAGTACTGTTTTGCTAATCTATGGCCTTATTTTTTTTTTTTAATTATGTGTTCAGCCACTGGGGTGGAAATGGAAGGGAAAGGGAGAAAAAGAGAGAGAGAATCTTGAAGAATGAGGAGGAAGTATGGTGAGGCAATCTGTGTACACAGTAGATTCTATAAAGCTCTGTAATTTTTTTATGAAAACTCGGACCTAAGTGACCCATTTATTCCCTGGCCTTAACTATCACCTACTGTATTTCACTGAAAAGCCATCAATTCTAACAAACAACATATTTTATACATTGCTAAGAAAAAAACAGCCTATTAAACTATGTACAACACAATTTTCTCAACACTTAGAATTTCTTTATTTCATAAAGACTGTAAGAGCTTGAGATATAAGCAGATTTTGCACATATATCATTTTTATAAACATGAAACGATATATATAAAATTAAGTGGCAAAAGCATTTCTAAAACTTTATATTCAGAGTCCAACTCTTCTGAATCACTTTATATGCAAGAGTTGTGGATATCTAAGTTTGCTCACACAATAGCACCCTCTGTGCCACCAGTGCTGATGATGCAACATTTCTTAAAGGAACTAAAAGCTACTGGTACTCAGGATTCCAATGACATAAAGCTAACCAACTTTTGGCTCCTGTTTCAAGAAAAGTCTATAACATGTTTCACTGCTTTCCTCCCCACTATGACTATCAGTATCTCTTGTGTGGACTCCCAGTTGGCGCCTGCACTACACTCAGGCCTCCTTTTATAACTACCCTCATTGAAAAAGCCAAAGTGATCTCTATTAAGTATCAACTCAGACCATATTACAACCGTTTAAAAATATTTCAACTGCTAACAGACATTCCTAACAGATCTGTAAGATAAACAGTCCCTGGATTTTTCCAACCTTATTTCATTCCATTCTCCCTCTTGTTCCTTAATCTCTAAGTCAAACTGGCCTTCCTTTTCTCCTTGAATCCCTTGAGCCATTTTACTGTTCCCACGACCTGGAATGTTCTTCATCCAGATATTCATACTGGCTTATTCTCATCTTTTAGAAGAAATATCAGATCAAAAGTCACCTCCTCAAAAAGGCCTGCTTGAACATCCATCCCTGACAACATTCAAGTCACTCTCTCACCCCATCCTGCTTATGTCCTACAAAGCCTTTCTCAAAACTTAAAAAAAAGTATGTTCACTTATTACATTACTTATTGTTTCTTCTCATTAGCATATAAATTTCATTGGGGAAGAGATAGTATCTATCTTCTTTAAAAAACATTTTATTGATTTCAGAGGAAGGGAGAGAGTAGCGAGAGAGATAGAAACATCAATGATAAAAGAGAATTATCGACTGGTTGCCGCCTGCATACCCACACTGGGGATCAAGCCTGCAATCCGGGTATGTGCCCTGACTGGAACCGAACTGTGACCTAGTTCATAGGTGGATGCTCAACCAGTGAGCCATGCTAGCCAGGCAGTAAATGCCCTCTTAATCACTGTATCCCTAGTGCCAGAAGCATAGTGGACACTAAATAGTGCCAGAAGCATAGTGGACACTAAATAAATAAATATGTACTAAATAAACAAAGAAACAACTAACTATTAATTCAAAGGTAATTTATGATTAGAAAGCCTACAACTTCAGAATTTCCTGAAATGTAGGCTCTAAAAATATTCAAAACATATTTCAACTCAAAAATTGAGCTGCAGCCCAGCTGGTGTTGCTCAATGGCTGAGCCAACCCATGAACCAAGAGGTTACTGGTTCGATTCCCTGTTAGGGCACATGTCTGAATTGCAGGCTCAATACTCATTATGGGATATGTAGAAGGCAGCTGATCAATGTTCTTAAGCATAACCAATGGATGCAAAACACTGGGGGGTGAGGGCATATATGGGAGTGGGGGGAGCATTGGTAAAATATGTACACATATAATCCTATCTAATAAAATAGTAATATGCAAATTAACCATCACTCCGCAACAAAAATGGAGGCACCAATAGACACAAGATGGCAGCGCCAGTCCTCTCAGGCCCAGGGTGGGCTACCGGTGAAAGCAGGCACATGAGGCCCTGGCTGTTGGCCTGGGAGGTGCCTTCACACCTCTGGTGCTATCTTCTCCCAGCCTTGGGCAGTGGCCTGGGAGCAGCTCTGCACCCCAGCTTCCAGCTAGGACCCAGGCAGTGGCCTGGAAGGTAGCACATCACCCCCCCCCCCCCCAGCCGTGAGATCGGCTGTGCAACCCTGGCGTGATCAGCACCCAGCTGCAATCTGAGCCATAGGCCTGGGAGGCAGCTGTGCACCCCCCCACCCCCCTACCCCCCACCCCCACATGCAATCTGCTCTTAGCCTCGGCCTGGGCGGCGCCTGCAACCGCCTCTCCTCCCCTTCCCCCCTCCAGCAATCAGCTCCCATCCACAGCTGGGTGGGGGGTAGGCCTGGGAGGCAGCTGTGCCCCAAGAGCTACCCCTTCCCTGGGACAGCCTGGGGTGTCAGCCTCCAAAGGGCCTGCGCCCCCATGGAGTGATCCTCCCCACACACACCTATAGCCTTGGCATTTCCCTTACCCGCAGCAGAGTGATTAGAGACAGAAAGGGAATAAAAGAAGAAAAGAAAGGACAAAAGGTGAAACATAAAGAAAAGGAAAGACAAGAAAAAAAGGAAGAAACAACCAAATGATATCACCTTTCCAAGGTCTCATGAAATTCCTGTTTAATGAGTTTATGACACTTTTAGTTTGGCTTTACATTTTTACTGGTTTGTCAAGACCACAGCAGCTATACTGTCCAATATGTCAAAGAAAAATCCCTATCTAATAAAGAGGGAATATGAAGGGGAGGGCATTTGGGGGCTATCAGGCCAGCAGGGGAACAGTTAGGCATCAATCAGGCTGGCAGGGGAGTGGTTAGGGTGATCAGGCTGGCAGGCAGAAATGGTTAGGGGCAATCAGGCAGGCAGGTGAGCAGGTGGGAGCCAGCAGTCCTGGATTGTGAGAGGGATGTCCGACTGCCTGTTTAGGGCAGTCAGATGTTTAGGATGTCCGCTGCCTGTTTAGGGGTCCCAGATTGGAGAAGGTGCAGGTTGGGCTGAGGGACCCCCCCCCTCCAGTGCATGAATTTTGTGCATTGGGCCTCTAGTACCTTAATAAAACATATGAAAAAAATGTTAAGTTAAAAAAAAAAAAACATTAAAAAAATAGAATCTCACTTAAGAAAAAAGTGAGCTATGCTGTTTGATACTGAGATTTATTGATCAAATTAAATTCACTGAATTCCTTATAAAAATTTGGTTAATTTGAAATATTTACAATGTAAAATTCAGTAAAACTGTCAGAATTCAATTATACTAACATGGTCCAGAGATTATTTTTTTCCATCTCAAAAGTAAGATACTTAGTGAGCTGTTTGCTGGTGATGATAAGGGCTCAAAAACCACTCTTTTAAAAGCAAGAATGGCTGAAACCGGTTTGGCTCAGTGGATAGAGTGTCGGCCTGCAGACTGAAAGGTCCCGGGTTCGATTCCGGTCAAGGGCATGTACCTTGGTTGCGGGCACATCCCCAGTAGGGGGTGTGCAAGAGGCAGATGATCGATGATTCTCTCTCATTGATATTTCTAACTCTCTATCCCTCTCTCTACCTCTCTGTAAAATATCAATAAAATATATTTTTTTAAAAAGCAAGATTGGCATTAAAGCCTAGTATTTTCAGAACCATACAGAAATATCATCAACTACAAAAATGACAGTTTTACCTTCTACTACATGTACTCTGTGCCTCTAAAATTTCTCCTTGCAGAACTAAACTTCTTTAAAAACTATTTTCTGATTTAAATGAATATATCAATTCCTAATCACCCAAAACAATTTTGCTTACTTATGTCTAACTTGATAATACTTAATACTGTAGAGACTGAATCTTATAAAATACACACACACACACACACACACACACTCGAAAAGAAAAAAAAAAGAATTGACTTATGAAAAGCAATTCTGCTCTATCTATGATTCATTACATGCTTTTCCAATAGGAATTGGATGCAACTGTGTTGAAGGAGTATGAAGAAATTGACACCCATTCATTGTTAGCAATAATGTAAATTGGTATAACTTCTATTGAAAGAAGTTTGACAATACCTAATAAAATTAAGAAGATATACCCTTTAAAAAAATCCTCACCCAAGAATATGCTTATTTTTTAAAACATGATTTTATTAATTTTACAGAGAAGGGGATGGAAAGGGCTAGAGAAATAGAAACATCAATCGGTTGTCTCCTGCATGCCACCAAGAGGAATTGAGCCTGCAACTCGGATATGTGCCCTGACTGGAAATTGAACTGCTGACCTCTTAGTACATAGGTCAATGCTCAACCACTGAGCCTCCCCAGCTAGGCAGGATATTCATATTCATTTTAGAGAAAGAGAAAGGTAGAGGAAGGAGAGAGAGAGAGAGAGGGGAAGAAAGTGATGTGAGATAGAATAGAGAAAATCAATTATTTGCCTTCTGTACATTCCCCAATTAGGGATTAAACCCACAACCATTTGATATACAGGATGATGCTCCAATCAGCTGAGCCATACTGGTCAGAAGAAAAGATATGTCCTTTTAAAAGCAATTCCACTTGTAGCAATTTTATCCAACAGGTATACCTACATATGTTTGAAATGATGCATATAGTTTAAGAACATTCACTGAAGTATACTATCTAATAAAGGAGTAATACGCAAATTAACCATTGCTCCACTACACTCACAAGCCACATCCACAAATCACGCCCACAAGA